CCCCCCTCCCCGAGTGGCTCTGTCGGCTAACGAAGGGAAGGGGGGAGGAGTCGGGTGATGTAGTTGTCCGTGATGGGTAACGAAGGGAAGGAGGGAGGAGTCCAGTGACGTTGATGTATGTGACGTCACCGGACTCCTCCCCCTTCCCTTCGTTACCTTAGCTAGAAAACACTGCCAAGGTCAAAGCAGGCAGAGTACTGGTGACCTCAGGATAGGTAAGATCAGCAATTTAAGTTAATTAAAAATGCAAAAGGAGCTGCACCCACAAGCTAACAAACAATATATGTGCAACTACTGAAATTGTGTGAGTTCCCTTAGAGTCAAAAGTCTGGGATTCTGTTGTGCAGGTGTTTGTGATCGTACACAGGGATATGATGCCATTACATATACAACAAAAATGCATCACAATGCAGTACCAATACCAACCCTTAGATGAGCTGCCAACATTATCTTTTGTTAATGAGGTTTCCATTTCTGGTATTCCTATGAATAACATACTTCCTCTACTCACACATTGACTGTATCTATGGGGGAGCCATGGTTGCCACCTAAACTATACTTCAAACATGACTTCCACTCTTCATTTCCATTACACAAAGCAGTGGTTAGACCCCACAGAGCCCTGCTACCCTGGTGAGGCCCCCTCAAAGCTCTGGTGAGACCCCACAGAGCCCTGGTTTAACCAGGGCTCTGTGGGGTCTCACCAGGGCTCTTTGGTGTCTCACCAGCGCCCTGAGGGGTCTCACCAGGCTGCTGAAATCGCACATAGCCATGGTGGGACCCCATAGAGCCCTGGTGAGACCCTACGGAGCCCTGGTGAGACCCTACAGAGCCCGGGTTTAACCAGGGCAGTGTGGGATCTCACCAGGGCTCTGAGGAGTCTAACCAGTCTAATCCAGTCTATACCACATTTACCACTGACTAATGCAGAGTTGCAATGCAAGCAGATCAGCTAAAAGCAGTTGGATCTGTATCCAGAATCGATTAATCTAAATTAGTCGATTAATCGATTTAAAAAAAGTTTGATTAATCGAACAGGAAAATTTTAATCATTACCAGCCCTACTTTACAACACACACAGAGACCATGGGGAACAAAAGTAACCACCCTCCAGAAGGAAGGAAAGTGTCACCACCAATTCAGAGATGATTTGAGGATCTTGAGATTTAACTTATGAGTTTAGTGTCACTTTAAGAACTGTCCAAAAGGGAATATCCCTCACATTGGAAAGATATCTTCTCACTTGCTGTTGAGTGTACAGGACAGAAAGTGAAGGGAAGTCTCTAAAATCAGAAACAGATGGCAAAAATCTGGCAGCCGTTTTAACCCTACTCTATCTAAAATTGAAAAAAAAAATAGTTTTGCCTTTAAATATACTTCATAGAGTGGGTGGAATCATTTTAGAAATTGGCTTATCTCTACTCATGAATACAGTCATACAACCCAGGCAGGGTGACTGACATTAGTTGCTCTTACCTGGTTTAGGCCCCGTTGTATTTTCAGAGACTAACTCAAAGAATGACTTCAAAGCGCTTTGTACCTATAATGACATAGAAAGGCAGAAGGCATAATTTATGAAGAAAACAAACAGGAGCAGGAATAAACCACAATAGTAAGTTTGCGTTGTGGACTCTGCAAACTCGATCCCTGAACCTGTATAGTAAATCATACAATGATGCTCAAGCCATAAGGCACAACCCTAGTTTGCAGTGTGACTTAAAAATCAAAATACTGATGGATTAGGCATGCCACCGCTTAGCCAGCCTCCATTACTACATTCATCATATGCACACTGACGCCTGTGTGCACGTCTGTGCATATTGTGGCTGCATATCAAATGATAGGAGGATACAATTTGCTTCATGTGTATGATCGATGCACCATTGTATGTCCATAAGCTCTCACGGGCAGGGCCCTCCTTACCATCTTTAAACAAGCATGTCATCAGCACACCAACAGGACAAAGTCCAAGTCAGTGCAAATCCATTCATTGATAGATGTCACTCAGATTGTCAATTTTTCAAAATCTGAGTGACATCTATCAATAAATGGATTTGCACTGACTTGGACTTTGTCGTGCTGGTGTGCTGATGACTTCCTTGTTTAAGTTCTATTGTGTGCGGCACCATCCGCAGTCATTTCGAGCACCCATAAACTCATTGGGATTTCAGGTATGGAGTGCTACAAGATTCATGGACACTTGTTTCTCCTTACCATCTTGTATTCATTTGTACAGTATTTTAACTGTGCTGTCTTCTCTATATTGTAAAGCGTTGTGCAAACTGTTGGCACTATATAAATCCTGAATAATAATAATCCTTAGAAAATCAAGCCTATTATGAAACTAGGAGCATGCTACTATCAGTGACACCGTATAATCACAGTCCAAACAAATCAGAATGTATTTGTAATTCCGTCATCTGAATTCAGTAAGATAAAATCTGAAATTTTACGCTATACAGGTTTTTTACTGTGCAAACTAAGCATTTCTATTTGCACTACTTTTCAATTGAAAATCTTTCAATGCAGAAGCATTGGTATCTATTTAGTGGTTCTCGACACATTTACCCTACAAATAATGATTTGTTAACGTATCGCCTTATGTATAACTTGCCCCTCCCTATTAGATTGTAAGCCCTCACGGGCAGGGCCCTCCTTACCATCTTGTCTTGAATTGTATTGTAATTGTCATGTCTTCCTTATACTGTAATGCGCTGCACAAACTGTTGGCGCAATATCAATGATGTATAATAAAAATACATTACGTTTTTGGCAAATGAGTGTCAGATTTATACTAAGAATGAACCTAGGCAATGAAGCAGTACAGATATCTAAAGGAAATTATTTATGTTGTCAATTTACAGTTCCAAATGTTTTTGGACATCTTTTTGGAGACCCTAAAACGTGCTGCTTAACAATTAAGAAGACCAGTATACAGAAGCAGATCTGAATGATGGCTAAATTCTTTGATAAGGTGCATGTGTTGGTGGAACTAGAAAAAAGTGGTACATGCATGCATTTTTGTGTTTTGTATGAATGTGTTGGTGACTAACAGTTTATAAATGAAGTGAATGATTACATAGCAAAAGTATGGTGTATTTGATATTTTGTTCTGCAGACAGACCCTTTACATACAGTTGAGGACACTTCTTGAACTTACCAGTGCAAGTGGGATTCTCCCGGTGACATCCAGTGTCCATTCTTGAAACTGCAAAGACAAGGCTTCCTTTCTCTTCTGCATTACTTGGCTCTGAATACTTTCCACCTGTACTCTGTTCTCTTGGTTTTCCTTCAGCTCTTCTTTTAGCTGTCCTAGCCTGCCATCAAGAAAAGTGTCATGTATGACTTTTACTGTCTATAAAATAATAGGTTATAGATCTTCAGGTATCTCACTGAGGCGTTCATATGACTCTCCATTTTTACTAAATACTGCGCATCATTTCATTACTTTTAGAGTATTAAAGAAAGCCTGTTGTGATAGGAAGGGGACTTGGCATTGCCAACCTCCTAAAAATTCTGGTTGTCTGACTGTTATGTTTTCTTACTGGCCTCAGTAGTTTTTGACTTTATGACCTGAAACATATAAATAGATCTGGAAACTCAGGGAAAAGAAAGTATTTTTCTGAATACCTGTTCCAGGTCCTTGGTGCAAAATATTAAAGCAAAGGGTTATCAGTGGGTTACACTTCCATTTGCCTGCAAATCAGAGATGCATAATAAACATTGGAGCTACTCACATCCCTTTGGCCTATTGGCATATTCTAACTGGGGTGATCTGGAGAGAAGCACATGTGTATAATAGTTGCTTTATAGTGCAATATTTGTGACGCATGATATGTAACTGCCACACATGGTCATTTACACTATGTTCTGCATTGATCATCAGTGCAATAGTCTATTTCTGCAGAACTGATACAAACATAAGATATTATGTGGATTGATGAGTAGCACTGGATAACCATCACTGCCACTGGATATTATATTTCCTGGTTGGCTCCTTGCTGCTTTGATTAACAGGGGTCCGCATAAACATAATAGTCTGTTGACGCAAGCCAGGATTGCTTGATAAAATAATCGAGTTCAGCTCTTACTAGACATACATACATACATACCATGAGTAGGGGTATGCATAGCATTTTTAGAAGAAGGTCAGCAATTGCAGCACCTATATTTTTGTCTCAGGAAGGCTTTACTTTGAGTAAACTATTGTTAACCTGCTGCGCCACCCCACTCCCAGACCTCCTAAGCTAAACTGCACTAAAGACCAGTAAGCTGCTGGAGTGAGGGGTTAGATCAGTTTAGATTTGGGAGGGCTGAGGGTAGATGGGTTAGCAATAGTTTAGTAAAACTGCACCTATCTATTTTTATCTCTTTAGTACCTTATTACAATTCCTTTTGTACTATTATTAAAAAGAGAAAGGGACCTATCAGTAAGAAGTCTTCCACTCTTGATTACCTGGGTCAACGTGTAAATAGAATGGAAGCCCATTATTGGTGGTCACATTATAGTCAGTAATTGCAATGGTGCTGGACACCAGTGAGATCTATTACAGAGTACTAACTATAGGTGTTATAGGTGTTTTATGTGTTTGTGACAAAGATTAAAAATGTAGCCGGTACCACTGTGGCAAGAGTGAATGTACATATAGTAGTACAACAAAAATTATCCTTAAAGTGATACTCAACCAGCTTCTTCTCCAAGCTGTTTACTACTTTTTAGCTTACCTGTTGAATTCTAAGTCAAAAACGTTATTTTTCAGATCAGCAACTACTTGTTCTAGGCCGCGTGCATAAGCAGATTTTTCAGAGCCTGTGAAGAATTCGTGATTATGTCTCATAAAATATTCTCCAAGATAATTGACTGGATTAAATTTTACTGAATCATCTTCAAGAACCTTTTTGTTCTCAACCTTCTTGAGCATGGCCTCAACTCCCTGAACAACGGAGGGCATTATCTGGTCGAGCAGATAAGCTCGTGTGCCCACTGTGGATTTGTCTTGGCTAAACCATTCCTTTGCCAGTTCATCTGCAGGAGCTATTTCTTCGGTTTTCTTTTTGCGTTCTCTGTGTTTTTTCACATTCTCCAGTGTTGTTTGTTGCAGTCTTAAGCCTCTTTCATGCATTTTGTCAGAGAATATTCTTCTATAGTCTTTGTCAGCTTCTATGGAATGGGGTAACTGTGTATTTTCCATGCTGTTGGACATCAGATTAGTGTCTGCTGTAGCACTTTCCATGACTGATGACTGAAACACTCCCAATTCTGTAACTAAACCATTAGTTACCATGTCTGTTGTAGCACTTTCCATGACTGGTGACTGAAAAACTCCCAATTCTGTAACTAAACCATTAGGAAAAGAAATAATCTATAATTAATTTTAAATGTAAAACACAAATCAGTTAAATGAAAAGTGACTGTCAAATGTTATTGGACCTCTTTTCCTTTAAAGAGAAATGAGATGGGATGAGATGACTGCCCCTTACAGATGGGCTTGTCTATAAAGTACTACAAATAGTAGTAACCTATTGCAACCAATCAGATATCGGTAAGCAGCTGTCAGATCTGTAAAAATCATCTGATAGGTTACTATTGGTTAGTTTAGTTAGCTTGAAAGATCGATTAACTATATAACTCTAGCGTTTGAATATAGTGGTAAAAAAGATTTCAAGCAGAACTATGGGGTCAGTGCTTTTCCCCATAGTTTTCCTAAGTGTAATGGGAGAACACAAACTAGCGTCCTCCCGTCACCCAAAGCTCAGTATACCTCGAGCTACAGCTCGCGGTATACTGAGATGCCGCAGCCGGAACGGATCCCGACAATGCTGTCTGGATCCACCCAGCTGCGTGAGTGACAGCTGGCTCTGCCTATCTAGAGGCAGAGCCAGCTGTACCCACCCCCTCCCCCTGTCCGTTCCGCCAGTCAGCGCTGGAGGATCGGACAGGGGAGGGGGGGGGAAATCCCTGCAGGGAGCCGTGAGTGACAGTCACGGCTTTCTGCACGGATAGATTGAGACGTGAGCGACGGTATGTGTTTGCTCACTTCCCGATCTACTGAGACGACCTGTGACAGTTTCATTGTCACAGGTCGGCTCAGATTATGAGGCTGAGTGAAAATCACTCGCCTCATAATTCTCCTTTAAACTGTTTTCATATGTAGCAAATGCTATGTCTGCTTCACTCCAATGTTCCTCATCAGTGTGCAAAGTGCCTTTATATCATTGCTGCAGCCTGGGGCACTCCAAAGATTTTCACAGGCCCTTCCTGTGCCACTTTTTCCTGCAGGCAGTCTAAGTACTACACTTTCCATGAGCACCGGAGTTGCACAGATGAGCAGAGGGTACTCTGCTAACTTCAGCAACATCAACACAATGTCTTGTAGTTCAGTCATGGAATTCACATACAAAGCTAACAAGACTGCTTACCATTTCAATGCAGCAGTGCCAGTGTTTGCAGCCCATTGAAGGAAGTTAATTTAATATTTCTAGCAGGACCATTATGTATCATTTACTGCTAATAGCGGTCTGACAAAAAAATAACAGGGAACAATGTGCATGCTTGGGCAGGCCCTATACTATATGTATTGAGTTTTGATTTGACCACACATACACTTTGGGCTTCGTTTATCAAACGTCAGTGTTTTTCCCCATAGTCCTCCTTAGGGTAACGGGAGGACACAAACTAGCGTCCTCCCGTTACCCTAAGCTCAGTATACTGCGAGCTACAGCTCGCGGTATACTGAGACGCCGCAGCCGGAGCGGATCCAGACATAGATGAGGGGATCCGCCCAGCTGCATGAGTGACAGCTGGCTCTGCCTATCTAGAGGCAGAGCCAGCTGTACCCGCCCCCTTCCCCGTCCGTTCCGCCAGTAAGCGCTGGCAGATCGGAGTGGGGAGAGGGGAATCCAGCCCCTCCCCCTGTCACGGCAGAGAGCTGTGACAGGATCGAGAGGTGAGCGAACCTGGTATGTGTTCGCTCACCTCCCGATCTACTGAGCCAACCTGTGACAGTCTCATTGTCACAGGTCGGCTAGAACTATGAGGTGAGTGGAAATCACTCATCTCATAGTTCTCCTTTAACTTCTATTTTATTCTAACCAGTGTAGGGAGGCGCATAGACAATTAAAGTGACACTAAACTCTGGAGTTTACTCTTAAAAATGCAAGTACCTTAAAGGAGAACTATGAAGTGAGTGATTTACACTCATCTCCTTAGTTAGAGCCAAGGCGTGATATTGAAACTGTCCCACATTGGCTCTATAGATCAGGAAGTGAGTGAAAACATACTGCCGCTCGCTCACTTCCCGATCATCTCCCTGCAGGGAGCTGTGACTGTCAGTTCCCCCCTGTGGGGAAAAGACAGTTTATTATTAAAAATGTAACAATGTAACATAACTTCCAACCCATATCGCTGCTCCTTCGGTCAGTAAAAAAAGCGAAATTATATGACACCACCACATATCCCTCTCGGCTCTATTACTTGCAGCTCAAACATGCCCGTGCTTGGCAACATCCTGGCTGACCTTACCCACACGTCTCAATCCTTTTATGCCCATCCTTCTCCCAGGAATCGATAAGGTAGCCCATTCATTATGGACATGGCCGATAACTGTGTTTTTCGTGCATTTTCAGCTGCATTTTATGCTCAAAGCACAGGTCTCCTTCCTGACAACAACTGAGGTCTCGGATAATACTTCTTCACATGGTCAATACAAAAATGCCTAAAGCTGAGATTCGCATAAAAAAATGCTTGAAAACGCCCTGGAAAGCACCGAAAGCCCATTTTAAACACAAAAAAATTGTTTGTTTTTTTAACAAAAACGGCCCAGAACGCATCAAAAACGCGGCAAAAAATGCAGCATAACACACTGCACTGCGCATTTGGTGTGAACAAGCCCTCAAACCTGAAATATCTTTGGAGATAGGTGCAAGGGACAAACCTGGAAAATGCTGAACTGTTCAGGTGGAAACATTGTATAAAAGTAGAACAGAAACAATGAAAGACTATAGAACAGTGGGAGTAAAAAACTTTTTGTCTAAAGAGAGTTAAGTTTTTATGATAATGTCAAATCTTACCTTCAGTGAGAGCTCCATGCAGGTAAAATCATTCAAAGATCAACTGGTTTAATGGAAAACAAAAGCGTGTTCCATTTGTGTGTGCAGTGTGGGCTCCGTGTTTGTGTCCACTGTGTTTAGCTTGGTCTAGTTGCTAGGAGACCATTCATGGAGAACCTGTGTCTCCGCTGCGTCCAAGTTCCTGCTACATCAGGATTGGAATCTAGTACAGTGTTTCTGTAGAAGCAGTTCATCAATGACTATATAAATCCATATTCAAAAAACGGCACTATAGCCTATTACATAAGCATACCAGACGTATTCAAAGGAGCAGAAACTTCTCTAAAGATACAAAACTTTATTTGGATGAATCAGTTTGGCATAGCTTGTAATTGTAATGTTTGTGTATATAAAAATATTAATTGTACTTTTTTATGTTAAAGTCACATCAAATTACTTCAAATGGCACTTGAAATAATAATTCAAATGAGCGCAAGGAACTTGCTGATTGATAATGTACAATTTTATTGTTAAGTTGCTAGTTTAGTGAAACTTTTTGCTGCTATCTGGGGCTCCATTAGAGAGACTTCCCCTCCCTAAGGACCTATTTACAGCTGTGTGCTGCGTTCAATGCACATGCTTTATCGTGCATTATGTCACCTGCTAAGGTGCGTTGCGTTAAGGCTGCTTAATACACTAAAACGCATCAAAATAAGGTGCATGAAGTATTTTAAGGTAACACAGTGCATAGTAGCATACCACTTCATTTTTTTCTTCAAGTAGAGTAGGGTAAAGCTAGAACCCCTGTCAGGTTTGTATTGCTGTCTGTGACCCTGTTTCATTTTTACACTCTCCCTGCCTGGTGAAATTGTTGTCATATCATGAGGAGAAATCTCTCTTAAGCTGGCCATACACTGGTTATATTTCAGCCAAAATTAAACCAGTGTGTTGTCCCCCCAGCCACCACACACACACACACACACACACACACTTTTGCCAAAAGTCCTTCTTTCTATCAACTTTTGTCAAAAGTACCGGTCAGAAAATTCTCAGCTGCAGTCACTGTAAATCTGCCGCTGTTAGAATACAATAGCCTGATGGGGAAAACAACCAATCAGTGCATGGCCAGCCTTGGGGCTTGTTCACACCAGCAGCTGCGCTCAACCATACGGCTGCTGGTGCGCGTGTCTCGGACAGTGCTGATGTGTTCAATCAGGCCGCATCACACTGTTTCTTTTTTTTTTCTTAGAACTTTATTGAAATGTCACCATTGACATTTCATTAAGTTCTATGGGCTCACCGCAGTTTGATGCAGTTGTACCGCATCTCGCTGCAGTGCACGTAAAAAAAGTACTGCATGCCGTACTTTTTTCAAGCGCGCACCACTGGAACACAGTGGTGTAAACAGTCACTATTATTGACAAGGCAAATTGCCTTGTCTTGCATTCAGGCTGCGCTGGAAAAAATGGCCAAACACAGACGGTGTGAACGAGCCATTACTCGGCAACTTTGCAGTCTTCTAATCTCTTATGTAACCACAAAGCAGTTTCAAAGGAATAGTAAGATGTGAGCTACCTGAGAAGGAATACTTAAACGACTTTAGTGCTTTGCTGTGAACTTTGAGATTTAACTTTCAAAGTATTTTATTAAAATTTTTTACAAACTTTGAGATTTAATTGCTCCCCAGTTTCAAAGCTCACCTTTGTCTGGTAAACCTTAGTCCCTGAACCTTGCACCCCTCTAAACCTGAGCCCATCAAGCATCCACTCCCTAAACCTAAGCCCAATGACCCATCACCTCCAAAACCTAACCCCCAATGACCCTCCACTCTCAAACATAAGTCCTTCTACCCTCTAGACCCAAGCAACTTAAACTGTCACCCCCTGAACCTTTCATTCCATTTCATTAACTTAACCAGGTAGTAAGATACCTCTGCACTATGCTAATGTGACTTCATAGAAAGTTATGTAAAATAAAATAGTGGTAACACTACTTTGAACAATTGACCTTTGACCTTTAACCTAACAAACCTAACCCGCTTATCCTTTCTCCACCTAAACCTAAGCCCCTCCACCCACTTAACCCAATCCCCTACACTCCACCCCCTTAACCCGTCTCTCCCTACACCCCTGAACCCTCCACCTGATATATATATGTCTGCATTGCACAAAAATGTAAAGTCTTT